CATTTGGCCAGACCACCAGGAATGTACCCGATCTCATAAGCCACGCAGGGTTGAGCCTCGAACTACTAGACATGTGTAAAAGAGCTTTATAGCTCAATGGCTTCCTCCAGTATAAATATTCGGATTCTATAAGAATAGGTTTAACCCTTCTGGCAATAAAACAGTTGTGTTAAGAAGTTAAAACACCAAACACAAACCATTTGCAGGGAATCATGTCTGCATTAACCACACAAGTGTGTTCTGATTCTGCTTACATGGGTGAGCACCATGTATAGAAACGGGTGTTGTAGGCTGCTGCAGGGATACGTTTTCATCAAACGTGGAGTATATTACTACATTTTTTAACCATTTTTATTTTACCAGGTAAAGCCCATTGAGCGTTTTAGCTCTTTTTCAGAAGCGACCTGGCCACAAATGATATCTCAAAAAAGTGGCTTGTGGGATGTATAGCAGCCAAATTCTCTAAACGCATGTTTCTACATGTGGAGGGAAAAACCGGAGGACCTGGATAAATCTTCACGCGACTACGCGGTGACATGCAAACTCGAAATATACAGGCGTCAAGGGTCGGGATTGAACCCACGACCTCCATGGTATACCACGCGAGGAAGTTAACATTTCGCCACTGCGGCGTCCAGTAAAATCCAGTGTTGTACCGTATTGTACATCTATGGTCCCGTGTCTATGGTCTCCAATCAGATGGGCGTGAGAAAGTGTGTTCAATACACCCCCATAACTCACATGGCAAGGGGAGGCCCTCAAAAAAGCGAATTGACAAAAGGGCTGTACATGCAAATGGACATGATCCAAAACAGCTGTTCTCAAGACACTGCCGAGGCATTTCCCTTTCCACTGTTCCTGCCCCCACCATTCACCAGCAGGCTGGGATACAGTATTCACCCACTGAGCTCCCCGTGGTGTGTAAGGCTTGCTTGCACTATCAAGGGTTCTCACAGGCACACAAGTGACAGTGTGACATTTTCAGTCAACATGCGTCTTACCCTTTCCCAAAACCCCATCCCCCATTCTCCCATCCCCCATGCAAAGTGCACGAGATTAAGAGATTAAAATCAAGCTTGGGGAGTGTTGCTGGAAGGGGTGGGTATATGTATGTATGTTGAACTTCTTTCGACACTTACGTATATAGCCAACCGTGTTAATCGGAGGTGCAGAGGAAGGACAACAAAATAAACACAAAAAGCAAATATAAGGAATTGAGTTTTAAATTTATTCCAACCCGTAATACTTTGCGATGTCCTCTTTAGAGTACTGCTCGTTTATTAACATCCACTGTCACGTGGTGCATTACAATTAACAGCCAAAAGGGTCATGTGATACTTTGATTGTCAATATAAGCCTTACCCTTTATAGGAGCTACTGGAAGATGCTAAGTTCAGCCGGAACAATGGTGCATGTACACAATGCCTGATTACTAACTTAAATAATTCTGGCATGTGAATAATTTAATTAGGCATTGTGTTTGTGGTGACAGATTGCATTATCTTTTAGAGCCACTCCTGATATACTTGACTTGTTTTAAGATCCTTATAATTAAGAGTGGCGTCATCACACTCGGATGTTGGAAAACATAGTGTCCTTACTCAATTCGGGTAGTAATGACACTAAAACTACCGTAAATCCTTACCACTATTGCAGTTGAACCTGGGCAGGTAAAAGAACACCACAAAACAGTTCAACAGTACTATGAGAATCAAGTTAAATGCAAAAACATTTGGCAGCAATGGCAAAAACAAGTGTTCTCCATACTATACCATATACTATCAGTTTAAATTAAAACTTTTTTACAATGTGGACAAAATTCTATGTACTGACACTTTAAGGATTCAACACTACACGAACATATAAAAAAAAGTTTAAACAAATATTTTCTCCAAATAGTGCTGTCGGCATCACGAAGCACATTAGTCAAAAACACAGCCGACTCTCTGTGTTGTATTGCATTTTAGTTCCATGTTTACTAGGTTTGTTTTCTCATTCATTTGTACCTGATGATGGTTGATTGTATTGCAATCGAAACGTCGTATTCTATTATTAATTTTATTAATTTCTACGTGACTTTACCGAAAGAACCAAAGAGTAATTCCTGCAGTCACGAAAGCTTCGAATCTGGCAATATTATTCACGTGAGTTTTTTTTTATATAATTGTGTACCACTGCCAACGCAGTATCAACAAATAATGTGTTTAATGTATCGGTATCATGTCATGCGACACATAATCCATTTGGATCTCTCAGACTGCAATGTAACCCTTCGCATTGTTGAACGCCCTATAGAAATGAACACCGCAGCTCCCTCCGAGATCCTTTCAAGTGACCTGTTACACACAGGAACAGGTAACTTGAGGGGGGACAGCACTTTCCCACCCACTCTGGTACTAAAAGTAATGTCCCGTCACGTGGCAGTGAAATCAACATTTTAAGTTCTCTGATTTGGAGTGTAACTATAGTGCTGAATCGCATTTATTTCAATTGTTATTTTTTGTCATTTGCGACTGGGCTCAAACTATCAACTCACAACAATTTAGAATCCAGTTTAATCACAGGCAGCTTCCTAAGTCTAAATTCAGTATCTTAGCAGTGCCAGCTCAGAGCTGATCAAAGTCACAACGCTACCTTACTAGGTTATATTTGATCAAACACTAAATCAACATATAATACAAAATATCTTGTTACATTTTTAAAAAACAAATTATCATCATAAACCGAGATCAGGAAATGATTAGAAAATGTGATATTGCTATAACACAGCAGAGATGTATTTACTTGATTAACTCAGTAAAATATGTGGTACCTAAACATCGTCTAAATATACCACTGTCATATTCTTAGCTCTTTCGGTAAAGTCACGTTGAAGGGAAACAATAAAATAATAATATATATTTTATTAATAAGATATATTTTATTAATAATATATTTTATTATTTTATTGTTTCCCTTCAACGTGACTTTACCGAAAGAGCTAAGAATATGAATTACTGCAGTCACGAAAGCTTTAAATCAAAATTTATACCACTGTCATGTTAAGTTTGCACATTTGTAAATAAACCTATTTAGCACGTAAGGCCCACTGAGCTATATAGCTCTTTTTCAGAAGCGACCTGCCCACAAATGATATTTCAACGAAGTGGCTTATCATGTGGAAATGTATTTCAACCAAATACTCGAAAAGTATGTTTATTCTAAATGTGGAGGGGAAAACCAGAGGACACGGAGAAAATTCCACACGACCACGGGGAGAACATGCAAACTCCAAACATACAGCAGGCATCAGGGTCGGGATCGAACCCAAGACCTCCTGCATACCAGGCGAGGTAGTTAACATCTCGCCACCGTGGCACCCCACATCTCAAACTCATTGAGATTGAGTTTATTTTATTTGTTATATACGGGTGACTCCTGTCTTCCCACTATTTTATCAGAGATCTGCGGTGTGTAACACATACTTTTAAAAAACATCTGCATAATAAAATTAAACCTTCCATTGAAAGTATTGAAGGTATTTAAATATTACACTCGAAGGTTTAGAGAAACTCAAGCAAATTTAAAATTACAGTGTCATTCCAATATAGTATCGTTACATTTTTCATTGTGCAACAGTTATGGGAAAAGTACTAAATTTAACTAAACTACAAAAAGTATACAATTACAGCTTTTCATAAGTTGTGCATTTTACCTAGATCTAAAACATAATTCACAATATTGCAGCGATCATAGAATGTTTAACAAAACCCCGACTGACATGAAGCAAGTGTCATCACAAACCTGTTCCTAAATGCCTATTTTACATACAAGACAATGCATTAGAATTTGCAGTAAAAAAACTGAAGCTGTATTTACGTGCAGCTATAAATACATTATATTATTTTGTATCAAAATGCCTTAATTTTAGGTTTCTAAAGGGGAAAAAAACTTGGTTTAATGATGTCACATCAGTTAAACGTCAAACAATGGCCTATAGCATGCACATAATGGCTTGATCACTTTCACGTGAAAAGCTGTTTGAAATGTTAAATTAAATGTACGTATTTTGTCATCTACTCTAGTCCAACTTGCATGCAAGTCTTAAACAAAATAAATATACCAGAGTATTTTACGCCACAAATCCACAGCATTTTATGCAAGTCATATTTTTAGCGAGATAGATTGGCAATACTCTTTGGTCCTTTGGGTAAAGTCACGTAGGTAAAAATAAAATCAATCAAATCACGACGTTTCGGAAGCAACACAAGCTTCCATCATCAGGCGGGACAACCACAGCAAAAAAATAATTATGTAGTGGTTGTCCCGCCTGATGACGGAAGCTTGTGTTGCTTCCGAAACGTCGTGATTTGATTAATTTTATTTTTCATTTTTATTTTTACCTACGTGACTTTATCAAAAGAACCAAAAGAGTATGGATCATTGCAGTCACGAAAACTTCAAATCTAGAACAGATTGTCAAGGCAAATGAGTGATGGCAATGTTTGGAGAGGATTCCATCCAGCAGTGAATAGACCATTGCGGCTGCTAATGAGGATTTTAACATAAATGCCAACCTAAAATTCACATAGCCACATTTAAACTCTCATCAGTGGGAGTTGCTTCATTCTACTCTGCTGCCTCAGCTATCTCTCATGTGCAAAGCCTTGTTCAAGACACAAATTATCTACTCACAACCAAATTCAACGCCTACAAAGTCAATGCTAAGAGTCTTGACCACGTTTACACGACATGCCTGTAAACTGTAAACTACTTTTTCACAGAGGTAAAAAAAAACATGACTGAGATCAATTCAAATATACAGTACATCGATGTTTTCTTTACCTTTGTAAGCTGCATTTCCAGTTGCATTCATGAAATTCATTACCTTTTTCACCTGTTAAAATTATAAAGGTATTATCACTCAATAAGTGCGTTATTGCTTGATTTACACTGCCTACAATCATCATAATTTATAGCAAATATGTTGGTGTTTGCTCTTGATCTGTTTGACATTCCCAGTAGCACGTGATGTTTAGCAGCAAGACAAATTATAGTTATACCGTTATTGCAGCAAATAACAGTCGATCATATATAATACCAAACAAAACAATTAAACAAAAACTACCACCTAAAACCAGCTACCATATAACATTCTTAAACAACTGTTTACAAGCAGCACACTGTATGTAAATTAGTTTTTAGATCGTCATGATTGATAGATTGAAATATGCATATTACAATCTACTAATAAAGTATTTTAGTACACATCATACATTAATAAAGTCTCCGAATATCAAAGTGATTTGATGTTAATGCAGTAACTGAGTATTTTCTAAACCCTACGCTTGCATCCCACCACTCCATGTCCTGAAGATTCGACACTCCCTGGAAGTGATGGAGCTGGAAGGATGTAAAGGAGGATATAATCAAGGATTTTGAATGGCCTTGTAACAGACCATAATTTTCAAGAACAATAAAAAAAGAAATATCAGCTTAACACAACCCTATGGGATATGTAAAATTGCATGCAAAAACTGAGCTCGAATCAGCATGCAACATTTCAAACAGGTAGCATTAATACATCACAGACGGCACCAGTAAGGAAAAATATGAAAGCTACAATTTGCATAAAGTGCACAAATTCTTGTTGCAAGTACCGGGCACCTAGACAAAGGATTCTTTAAACTGAGACCTAAGCACAAGTAAAGGTTAGAAGCATGTATCTTAGGGATCTGTTCCAACAGATGCCACTCTCCCAGTCTGAATTAATTGGGTCTATTATTGGCCATTATAAAAAAAGCATCAATCAGTGCTCGAGTCTAAGCTATTTGGAAGCACTTGTCAAAACTCAGTTGAACACGTAGGCTCTCGTGACGAATATTATCCAGAAGAAGTCTTTTTGGGGTTAGATTGCATAAATGTAAATGTCATTAAACCACACAGCCAATTAGTAAGGTTTGTCACGTAAACAAAACGTGCCAATTAGTTACTAGTTCAGCACACCGGTGTGTTGGAGAGTAAACCCACAACATTTACAATTCGAGTACGATGTTTCGCCATTTCGAACTGACTGCAGTAGTCAAACACCGCGAAAATGTTGCATGTCATCATACACATCTGAGGCTTTCAATCTGATCACTAAAAATACATTTGAGTCACCAGTGTTATCTGTAGGATCAAAGTTTAATACCCATGTGTCTTATTCTTAGCTCTTTCGGTAAAGTCACGTTGAAGGGAAACAATAAAATAATAAAATATATATAAAACAATAAAAATTCTCACGACGATTCGACCATAACACAAACGGTCGTCATCAGGTGACTTTACCGAAAGAGCTAAGAATATGAATTACTGCAGTCACGAAAGCTTTAAATCAAAACCCATGTGTCTTGCTTAAAAACAAAACAGGAGCATGAACACAGCTGCAATCCTACGAATTCTTCTTGTTAATCACATCTGCAACTTTGTGGCCATTTCTGTTCACGTCTTTATTGGCAAAGTTCCAATCAACAGGGTTTGCCAGCTGCAAAGTCTTCTTGTAGGTCCAGTATGGGTTGAGATAGACTGTGAGCACAAGCAGGCCCGTGTAGAAAATGACCAATGTCGGGAGAGACACATGATTCACAAGGTCCTGCCGATTTCTCCAGCTTTCCCACCACAAGTAGTAGGTGAGGAACATCCGGCCGTGGAACATGTGGATCATCACCATCTGGTTGACTCTCCAGAGCAGAGTTTTGGCATAGCCAGCCTGCAGACACGAAAGGATTTAAATCAACAAATCTACTTTCATCGAGTGTGTTTTGCATCAAAATACTGCACGCTGATAAGACAAGCATTAAGCAGATTAATTTATAATACATAAATGGCATTTTGTTCTCTACATTTATTTATAAACACCAACTTCCGTCTAAATCAAGTATATTTTCTATCAAAATAATGCACACTATTAAGGCAAGCACTGTCAACGAGACATATTTCCTAATTTACGATGTTTGTTGTACATAGCAAGTCACTCAAGTTGTAAGCGTTTTTTTGCATCAAAATAGTGCGCACTATTCGGATAAGCACTGCCAAGAGGACACAGCAACACCGCATAAATTACAGCGTTGGCTATCTAAGCTATTTGGAAGCACTGGTCAAAACTCAGTTGAGCACGTACGCTCTCGTGACGAATATTACAGCGCTTGTGATTGTAAAGTAACCCTCTGAAACGTAATTGCCATTGAGAGGGCTACTCACACAAAACACGTGGAATGGTAACGTTTACGCTGAACATTTCAAACCTAATCGGTGGTGACTGGCTAAATCAGGCTGGGCAAGCAGGGTAGGGGGGGGTACACAATTGTGGAGTAACTTGGCTGTGCATGTACTCAAAGACAACCGGGCATTCACAGCTGAGCACAGAAACACCAATCACTGCAACATGAACTCAGCATGCTCGTTGAACAATGCAGTCTCTAAATATACAGGCATAAGGATCGGGATCAAACTCAGTTAAAGCTATATTTGACAGAATGATTGTAAAATTACGTTCCATATAATCAATTACACCTCAGTGATAAGAGCTGTTATACGACAAGCAAAAGTGGAAGAAGCAAATAATTACAGACCTTTGGTGATTTTAGTACCAGTTGTGGAAGAGCTTACCCAAAATAGAATGAATGCATATATATTAATGAGTTCAATAGTATATTAAAGAAGTAATTTTTAGACAGCATATGAATAAAGGAAGTGAAGTGACAAAAATAGTGTCCCAAGCACAATTTAAGTTCTCAAGTTTGCTTATTGTCATTTGTACTTAAATATTGCCTACACTGCTTTGTTTGTCCACATTGCACTTGGTCTGCAATCACTTCCATAATGAGTGATTCTCTTGTAATTATCTCAAATGCCCCTTTTGTTTCAATGCCCTTGAGATGTATTGCGTTGGATGCGTGGTATAAACATATATTTTTTAAATTTCTGATGATGATGAAGAGCTGTACAGAACCTTGAGCAGCATCCAGGAGATGCAGGTGAACGGGGTGCTCATTTCCAGGAGGAGGATCACAATGGCCAAGTAGTGGCCTGTGGAGTCCCAGAGCACCATGGTGAGGAAGCCACCAGCGCTGAGAGCGTGGTGGACTGCCAATCCCAGGTCGAGGCCGCCGAACACGGCGCTTGACACGTGCAGGGCGAGGTTTTCGAAAAGGAAGAAGCCCACGGTGGTGAGGATGAGCGCCCAGCTCCACCAGCACTGCCGCCAAACTAGACCCTCGAAGAGCCAGCGATCGGCGAGCAGTGTCCACAGCCCTGCCCCCCCCGCCCCCCCGCGCACGCAAAAACAAAGGTAACGTGTCATCAGACGCATCGCAAGAAGCTGCTGCATCTAAGCCCCACAGATTACAGTGATTACGTTTCACAATAGGTAGAAAAATGATCTTCAAAATAATTTGACATTAAACTCCAAGAAAACCGATAACTGTAAACTATGGCATTCACGCTACAACCTGTGAATGTACCGCTGTCGTTAATGACTATTTTGAAACTAAGTGTTTAAACTTTAAATAACTTGATAATAGGTTTTTCCCCTTTTTTTCTGGCAACAAAACAGGTGTTAAGATGTTAAAACACCAAACTGAAACCTTTTACAAGGCATCATGTCTGCATTAACCACAGTACTTGTGGTCAGAATGCAAACAAAAAAAACATACTCTGATAATATATGCATTGTCCTTGAAACGGATTGGTCCAGACCAGAGACAGCTTTCTTTTGAGCCTCGTCTCAAACGGTGTTAGATCAGAGGATGCCAAAAGACGTCCTCTGGTTTAAATAAATAACTTAAGCAACTTTTTAAATAATTGCTTAAGCAGGAAAACATTATTGAGATAGCCAATGCTTTAAAAAAAAATGTTAACTTTTATTTGGTATTTTTTTAAATGGAAATTGTAAACCTCTTCAAATGAATCTTCATACTAAGTGATTGTCCGTTACTGTTCTGTATCATGTTAAAAAAAAAAAACCCGAATAACATAAATTGCTAGTTTGCAGAACACATGTTAAATACTGTAATTACAGTCAAAAGCATTTCCCTTCAAAACATTATCTGTGAATTTATCACATTTTTGATAACGTGGCATCATGAGCTATCAAGTGCCTGATAAGCGTATTCAAGGAGAAAATGTAAAAACCAACATTGCTATCAGTAGCTTCTACAAACACACGAGCAATGCATGTGTGTTGAACTTCTTTCGCGCAACTAAGTAGCAAACCGTGCTCAGCAATGAAGGTCTTAAGGAGATTGCCACCACCTGCGAAAGTTGCCTGCACCCCGAAAACGGCCCGCGTGGCTGCCAGGGACCAAAACGCGCGTTCTTGCGAGTGCAGGCCCTTGTAGGTAACGCTCAGTGCCTGGGAGACGAGGTGCGTGATCAGAAACACGCAGGAGTAGAGCGCAAAGCCGCCTACGATCACGGCCACGCGCACGTCCCACGCGCCGTAGTCCAGAGAGAGGAAGCTGCCGTCGGCGCGACCGTCTTCAGCTTCCGTCGTCATTTTCTGCATCGCCACGCCAGAAAGCAAATGAAGGATGAACAAGTGTTTTTTTTTTTAAAATGAATTTCATCACCGTATGAATACATTCTTAACTAAATGCAACAGGATTTGTTTTTTTTTACAAGGAGTAATATGCGATATTGCAAAGGGTAATATGCAATAAAGGGATATTAGAGGTAAATTAGCATATACAGGCATACGAAAAAATGGAAACGCCGTATTGATAACGTTTTTTTTTAATTCAGAACAATTTTTACTGTGGACAATTCCACTATAACGAGCAACTGCTTAGCTCTTATTCTAATTCATTGAAAAGCATTAAAGGTTGAACAAGAATGTAATAAAGTCGAGCATCGATGATCCGGCTGCCATGATTATTCGGCGGTGCCGGGCAGATCCGGCAAAACCGCCCCAGAGTCTGCGACCAGTCGTGCGATCGGTGCCACGTGTGCGTGCCAAACAAAAAAAGTAGTCACGCTCGATTTCAGTGTCACATCATATACACAGCACATTATGCACTGCACACGGCAACTTAAGGCAATTAAAATACTGCACGGATATACACCACCGCCATGCAGAGTCTTTGAGATTAAAGTAGGATATTTATTTTTTGTCCATTTGTAAGTTGAGTCATGCCAATTTCACATCGCAAACAAATTGAATATACAAAGAAACATGTAACAACACGTAAAAACATGTCATACAAGAATGTGCAAAAATAAGCATATTTTAAAACATAATTTAGTGAATTATCCGGCGTTTTTTTTTTATCCGCCACCTCCGACCAGAAACTGCTGGATAATCGATCTATCTACTTAACTCTACCTTAAACACTTTCGGTCATTTACATTTAAAATAACACCGAACCTGTAGCACTCTTACGTCAAATGTAAGTGGCGTGTTGCCTCCACGCACAGCGGGTACAAGATTGAGTCGTCTGGTGGGGCACGAGAAGAGAACTGAACCCCATTCACGCGGCCTCGCACAGACAATGGGGGTCTCAAGTCCAGCCATTAAAAAAAAACTGCAGAGTGGACCATTATGCAAATCCTTCTTTTAAGCACAAGCCAAACATATTGGTTTTATATAACGTACATAATACAGCGCGACTAATATACAGCACGTGTCGGCTTCACGAATATCATATAACTGATCTATTTTTGTCATTCCTGTATACATGTCCATCCATACCTGACAATCCCTTACCAGTGCCTACCTTATTACAGACCAATTTAGACCTTATTGGTCACCCCCGTGCCCTTATAAATCTCAAAGTTCATCCTACAAAGTCCCATCACAAGGGAGAAACACAGAGACATTTTTTTTGTTTGCCTGTATTTCAACGTCTGTATGCCATATGAACCTGGAAACTTAATTTCCCTGCACAAGAATACGGGGTAAACCGTATGGGTTGACAGGCATATGCATGTCCATCTCCATATATATAAAAGGAAAAGTTGTGAATGTGTGTCTGTTCAAAATGTTTAGCGTACTTTCCGACATGCAACAAACTGGAAATTTGCCATGTGGGTACTTTCCAGACTGTACACCATGCAAAAATTATAAAAATACACTTTTGTGTTATTTTTTAGGGGGGGGAGCTCAATAATGCATTTATTTTTATTGCACGGCAAGTGAGCTGTGACGTCAAATCTGTCACGTGACCCTCGCACGTGGAAGCGTAACGCATTGTAGTGTAGCGGTTAGCGCGCCGCGCTACGAACCCGGCGACACGAGTTCGATTCCCGCTCACAGCCTCCACCGGTGACGATTATTTGAACCGCTCCTGGGCCTCCCCTAGGTCGACTCTGCCTCAAACGAGTAACTACTGTGGTGTGTGAACATCGCCACTGGGGAGACAAAGGCTGCCGGGCGTGGTGAATCCAAGTCCCGGGCGAAGCCGGGTAGTACAGCTAGTACTGCATATTTGAAAGCATAGCATGCAACAACTTTAATTGTCACGGACCCTTTGCCATCAGCATGCCATCCAGCTCTGAGAGAAATGCAGGTCAATGATGTTGTGAAACTAGCCCCATGGCTATTATGCCCAGATGTGAAGGTTCTACAGACTGTGTATAAAAACATATTTGCCGCCACCACTCAAATAACACTCAATACACATACAACTATTTAAAGGAAATTCACTTGAGTTACCATTAATCAGGCAATGATCAAACATGTCTGTAAGTGGCTCAAGACCATAAGTATCACGAAGATCAAATATTTTATTCCAGTAATTACGCTGATGCATTAAATAATCAGCACGTTATTTCTTAAGCTCACCAGATTTAACATTTTACAAGTCTCACAACGTTTGCTCAATAGCTGCCTTATTGTGTGTAATCAAAAAGACAAACGCTACTAGATAATTCACATGCACCTTTAAAAAAACACACTATATGACACTGTTTGCCTGTGCAGATGGGCAGTGTACTGGTTACAATTACAAACCCATTCGTGAATCACACTTGTATGCCTTTGTGGCTTAAAGCTGATGGGATTCCACCAGTTTAGCTGTGAGAAACTGGTGGATTTTCATGTGATGAACTGGTGGGACCCCACTTGCCAAATAAACTGCAGTACATACATGCTGCTTCTGGAAACTGGTCAAGTCTTCTGCTTTTGACAGCTTGCTTATATGTAGCAATTAACGGGACAAGGATATGGCCCGCAAAGTTGTGCTATTTCTGTGACCAGTCACAAGCTAATCCCTCAGCTATTTCAATGCTAAATTCTCCTGTTTGATTTGTACTAGGTGCCTCTGTGGATGTGTAGGCTTTGACTTTAACATAGCTATTTCTGTGACCAGTCACAAGCTAATCCCTCAGCTATGTCAATGCTAAATTCTCCTGTCTGATATGTAAACCCCTTTGTCAAGGTGCCTCACTTCTCTCAACCAGCTTAAAAGAGGCTACGAATCTTAACAGGTTTGTTCCTTTCACCTGAAGAAGGCCGCTTGTGTTGTGGCCGAAACGTCGTGAGAATTTTATTGTGTTATTTTATTTTATTATTTTATTCTCATTCTACGTGACTTTACCGAAAGAACCAAAGAAGATGAATCCTTGCAGTCACGAAAGCTTTAAATCGAAACCAATAATACGTACAGCATTGTCATGTAAAACGATATGACCAACTCTGCTGACATGTCCACATTTCTGCGGCTGATATATATTATGGTAACAGGTTGTGTAAGTAGTGTATGAGTGTGTATTTAAAGCCCAACATCAAACCAATAAATCCTTAAGGTCTGTCACCCGGATGTCAGTAAAAACAAATGACATTGGGACAATCGAATCGGTTTTTGACATGAGTGTACTGCCAGGTGTAATTGCTCTTTAGCAAGCCACTGCTGTATTGGGTGGGTGGGGGGGGCTTGCAACACCATGGGGGTTATTTGACCATACTTCACCACGCTGGTCAGTGCGGGCTGGTGGAGGCAGGCACAGCATAGAAAGACAGCACAAGAATGGAGATTGCTGCGCTTATTTTCCAAAAACATTCCTTCAGGTTCAACTTTCAAGCGGGGTCAAAGACCGGCCACAGCATCGCAGGAGCGGGGTTATCTCAACAACAGTCGCACGTGAACTCATTTAAAATTCAATGTCAAAATGTCCTCATCACGCGTGCAACAATGATTGTATGAGTGTACAGTGTTCTAACGACGGTTGCGGTGCGGTGGCTAAGTGGTTATGCGATGAAGCAGGCCATACAGGAAGGCTTGCCATTGCTGGACAAGGCTGTTGATGACATTTAGTAAGAGGCGAGTGAGTGATTTCTTCAAATCAACTCACACTGACCGGGAGAGAATCAAGTATGGAAGTAAGGTCCAACAACTTGGGGAGGGGGGTGGAAACCTTCATCCACTCTCGCAGATGTTAACTACCTCGCCTGGTATGCAGGAGGTTTTAGTGGCTTCGACATTCGGAGTTTGCGGCGTCTCTCCCCCCTGTGGCACCACCACCATCAGCACCACCACCACCACCACCACGTGTCGACTCAACATCACGCGCGTTCATAAAGACTACTTTGGCTGCGAGTTAATGTCCTAACCTACTGTATAAGCCCAACAGCGTTGAGCATTTGCGATGGCCAGGCAGCTTCTATATATATATCTCAGCGGGGGCCTTACCTGGTTGATACAAATTTTAAAAAAGTAAAGTTTAAAGTTTTATCCGGCATGTGGATGGAGCAAATTGTTACGCTACAAGCGTGCGATGCGCAAGTTGGATTTCCTACAACGCATGGGCCCCAGCGCAATGGAAAGCGACGGCGCACGGTAACCCCTCCCCCCCCCGCGAGTGGACCAATGGGATTGCAGCTTCGAACGGTCACGCGCACGCCTCAGCCAATCGGGATGCGAGCACGACGCCGCCGCGCCCGATGCGCTCTAGCAAATGCAAATGTAGATTTTCCCACGTTAGCCGACACAATAATTAATCTGTACTTTTGTTGTCCGCCTGTGTTAGCGTAATTAAAAGAGTTTAGAGCACATTCCATTGCCACACGAGTTCAAACAACAAGTTATTGAAACGTATAACGCGTAAAAATCGACACAAATTTTTAGGCTTACCTGCATGCGATTATTAAATGGTACGTATACTCGAGTACTTACAACTGAATGTGCAGTCTTAAAAAGGTGGTACTTCAGTGACTAACTAAAAGCGGCGTTTAAGTTACATTGAAGAAGTAAAAAAAAAACTCCCAATAAATTAAAAAGCAGTCGCCCGAGTGAGTCCCAACAGCAGTCAACTCTCATCACATTCCCCTGTCACGCGACTCTAAAAACGTCGCATGATTTTTGGAATCGATTTCAAAAAAAGGCTTCCCGATTACCCCTAACGTGGTGGCTGCAGTGGATCGATTCGGCGGAGTTCGATTTAACTTAGCGTGGCGACCTAATGGGAATCGATGTCAACGACACCGAAGTGAAATACCCCCGATACCAGAATCGATATTGATTTGCTCCTGGTGGAATCCGATGATCTATAAGGATTCATCTTCTTTGGTTCTTTCGGTAAAGTCACGTAGAATGAGAATAAAATAATAAAATAACACAATAAAATTCTCACGACGTTTCGGCCACAACACAAGCGGCCTTCTTCAGGTGAAATGAACAAACCTGTCAGGACGACAGAGCTTCAATGAACGCTGCTAAGATTCGTAGCCTCTTTTAAGCTGGTTGAGAGAAAGTGAGGCACCTTGACAAAGGGGTTTACAAATCAAACAGGATAATTTAGCATTGAAATAGCTGAGGGATTAGCTTGTGACTGGTCACAGAAATGGATATGTTAAAGTCAAAGCCTACACATCCACAGAGGCACCTAGTACAAATCAAACAGGAGAATTTAGCATTGAAATAGCTGAGTGATTAGCTTGTGACTGGTCATAGAAATAGCTATGTTAAAGTCAAAGCCTACACATCCACAGAGGCACCTAGTACAAATCAAACAGAATTTAGCATTGAAATAGCTGAGTGATTAGCTTGTGACTGGTCACAGAAATGGCTATGTTAAAGTCAAAGCCTACACATCCACAGAGGCACCTAGTACAAATCAAACAGGAGAATTTAGCATTGAAATAACTGAGTGATTAGCTTGTGACTGGTCATATAAATAGTTATGTTAAAGTCAAAGCCTACACATCCACAGAGGCACCTAGTATAAATCAAACAGGAGAATTTAGCATTGAAATAGCTGAGGGATTAGCTTGTGACTGGTCAGAAATAGCTATGTTAAAGTCAAAGCCTACACATCCACAGAAGCACCTAGTACAAATCAAACAGGAGAATTTAGCATTGAAATAGCTGAGGGATTAGCTTGTGACTGGTCACAGAAATGGCTATGTTAAAGTCAAAGCCTACACATCCACAGAGGCACCTAGTACAAATCAAACAGGAGAATTTAGCACTGAAATAGCTGAGTGATTAGCTTGTGACTGGTCATATAAATAGTTATGTTAAAGTCAAAGCCTACACATCCACAGAGGCACCTAGTACTAATCAAATAGGAGAATTTAGCACTGAAATAGCTGAGTGATTAGCTTGTGACTGGTCATAGAAATAGCTATGTTAAATACTCTGGTTCTATTCGGTAAAGTCACGTAGGTAAAAAATAAAACAACAAAAATCACGACGTTTTGGCCACAACACAAGCGGCCTTCATCAGGTGAAGGGATCAGGCTGTCTCGAGGACAGCGTTGGAGTGAAACACAGCCACGCTCAGACCGCGACCTTTAAGCTGTGTGCAAGGAAACAAGGTGCCTTGACAAAGGAATTAGCATCAAAATTAGCATTTGATTGGCCGACTTAGCATAGAGGTGGTGTACGTGCGGGTGGACTTGCCGTTTGGCGCGGGGGGGAGGGGGAGCTTACCCATTGATGGTGTGAAAAGGGAATTTTTAAGAGCTGCGAAAGTTTGGGGTACCACTACTTGAAAAATATACTGTACCATTGAAAATTAGTTTAATGTTTGGTTCGATTTAGAACATCTTTCCAATGGTTGCTTAATTTGAAACCCTCCTCTCGGTTGAAATTGTGTCTGTGTTTGTAGATCTGAATTGCCTCGTGAACAAATCTCTGATAAAAACCCGTGGGTTTGCAGAGAACCTTCGTATCGGAGAAAATTATATCGTGATCACCCACAGCGTTGTAACAATGATCAGCTACGGCAGAAGAATTCGTTTTGCCGTGTTTCAAATCTGATTTGTGCTCACGAATTCGGTCAGAGACATGTCGCTTTGTCTCCCCGATATAGCAATCATCGCAGGTACAACTCAATTTGTAAACCCCAGGGTACTGTTAGTCAGGAATGACATCCTTCACGGATGGGATCAGATCACGAATTTTGTGTACTGTATTGAACCGGACCTGGATCTTGTGTTTGTTTCGAATTTTGGAAATCTTTTTAGTAACGCCTGCTATATATGGTAGTGTGATGGTTTTGACCGGAGTATCAAGTGGTTGTTTCTGTATGGAGGGAGAAACAGCTTGGCGGGTGGTACGGTCAGAGTATCCGTTCCTCTTGAGGGCCAGGTGTACATGTTTTAAATCACTGGTCAGGTGGTGTTGGTCCGAAATGCAATGAGCCCTATGGTATAAAGTTTTGATGAGAGAATTATTTTGGGCTGGGTGGTGGTGGGAATCAGGTTTCAAGTAGCAATCTGTGTGGGTGGGTTTCCTGAAGACAGAATGCCCCAATGAGCCATCAGGTCTCCTCTCAAACAGAACATCTAAGAATGGTAGCTTGCCATCTTTCTCCACTTCCATGGTGAATTTGATGACGGGATGTCTGGAATTGATGTGGTGTAGGAAAAGGTTCAGAGCTGGGAGGCCATGTGGCCAAATGACGAAAGTGTCATCTACATATCTCTTCCACAGGGAAGGTTTGAAGGTGGAAGTCTGGATGGCGTCTGATTCAAATTTCTCCATGAAAATATTGGCTATCACTGGTGACAAGGGGGATCCCATGGGGGTACCCTCATTTTGTTTGTAGAAGGAGCCATTCCAAGTAAAGTAGGTATTGTTGAGGCAGTGCCTAACCAGTGCAGGTGTATCAGGGTCTAGTCCATGTTGGACCAAATTTTCAACTATTTCAATGGTGTCAGGTACTGGGACCTTGGTGAACAAAGAGACCACATCGAAGCTGACAAGGATAACGTCAGGGGACGATATCCTTGTCAGCTTCGATTCTAAACAAACACAAGATCCAGGTCCGGTTCAATACAGTACACAAAATTCGTGGTCTGATCCCATCCGTGAAGGATGTCATTCCTGACTTACAGTACCCTGGGGTTTACAAATTGAGTTGTACCTGCGGTGATTGCTATATCGGGGAGACAAAGCGACATGTCTCCACAGAGGTGCCTCTGTGGATGTGTAGGCTTTGACTTTAACATAGCTATTTCTGTGACCAGTCACAAGCTAATCACTCAGCTATTTCAATGCTAAAATCTCCTGTTTGATTTGTACTAGGTGCCGCTGTGGATGTGTAGGCTTTGACTTTAACATAGCTATTTCTGTGACCAGTCACAACCTAATCCCTCAGCTATTTCAATGCTAAAATCTCCTGTTTGATTTGTACTAGGTGCCTCTGTTGATGTGTAGGCTTTGACTTTAACATAGCTATTTCTGTGACCAGTCACAAGCTAATCACTTAGCTATTTCAATGCTAAAATCTCCTGTTTGATTTGTACTAGGTGCCTCTGTGGATGTGTAGGCTTTGACTTTAACATAGCTATTTCTGTGACCAGTCACAAGCTAATCACTCAGCTATTTCAATGCTAAAATCTCATGTTTGATTTGTACTAGGTGCCTCTGTGGATGTGTAGGCTTTGACTTTAACATAGCTATTTCTGTGACCAGTCACAAGCTAATCACTCAGCTATTTCAATGTTAAATTCTCCTGTTTGATTTGTACTAGGTGCCTCTGTGGATGTGTAATCTTTGACTTTAACATAGCTATTTCTACGACCAGTCACAAGCTAATCACTCAGCTATTTCAATGCTAAATTCTCCTGTTTTATATGTAAACCCCTTTGTCAAGGTGCCTCACCTCTCTAAACCAGCTTAAAAGACGCTACGAATCTTGACGTTCATTGAAGCTCTGTCGTCCCGACAGGTCTGTTCCTTTCACCTGAAGAAGGCCACTTGGGTTGTGGCCGAAACGTCGTGAGAATTTTATTGTTATTGTTATTTTATTAATTTATTATTTTATTCTCATTCTACGTGACTTTACCGAAAGAACCAAAGAAGAGGAATCCTTGCAGTCACGAAAGCTTTAAATCGAAATCTATAAGGCTCTTTGCACAAATGTCAGGCAAAGGCAGCTCAAAACGAGTATTGAGCGAGGGATACCCGTGAACCACGCCCTTGAACTCTGAACAGAAGTTTGGATGAGATAAATTAAAGTTCTAAATTCACAACTCACGTTTGAGTTCGACCACCTGATGATCTGGCTACTTGTGTGTTGTAAGACCCTCCCACCACCCGACACAGCTGAACAAATTAAAGTGTCACGTTTACAAGCATTCACCGCGCTAATTATTATTCTGACTTTCTGGTTTCGTGACCTGAGTATGCTTGACGCACTGTCAAGCGAAACGTCGAATCTAATTGATGAATGCGATTGTGAGATTTGTTCCCGAACCTTCCTGTAAACTAAAACAACAATTAGCGCGTTAAACGCTTTTAAAGGTGACAATGTATTTCGGATATTTCTGTTGGTGGAGAATTAGCCAGATCATTACGTGGCACGACGCTAATGATTCATTAGTGGTATGTATTACGCAACAATCATTTCACATAGAACTAAGAGAAGGTCCGTGGCTATAAACACCTGGAAGTTCATGATCAGTCCAATTAATACCGACTGCTTGACGATATACTGAATACTCTTTGGTTCTTTCGGTAAAGTAACGTAGGCAGCACGACGTTTCGATCGCAACACAAGCAACCGTCTTCAGGTGAAAAAGAGAGGGAAATCTGTTGAGGCAGGCTGTTTATAAAAGTTTTTAACATCTAACTTTTTTAATGTGTGGCTCTAAGTTTATTTTTTGACAGGAGGTTGAATTTAGCAATCAGGTTAACTTTACATTTGGTTGACATTGAAGTAGCCGAGGAAACTGTCATGTTATCTACGTGTGGTCCCAATCAGATGTGGACATTTTACGTTAGTGATAAGTGTGATTGTAAGAAAGTCTTGTCTAAATGATCAAGTTCAAATCGGAGCAGTCTTATTCTCTCCGAGATTAAAGCTAGGCTAGCCCTAAACAAGATCCGTTTAGCGTTAGGAGAAGTGACCGCAGCAGATGCCAATGTAATACCGATCGCCTTTGAATCAATGCTGGACTCCAAAGCAGGCCATGCAGCTGATGGAATGTGCCAAAAAAAACCCCATTATACCGTACAGTACTTGTTTATGTGGAGGCGAATACTATCGTTGGGAAGGGAGCGTGTTGTCCGTCTGCTTGTGTATTGTGAAACCCCATAACAGTGTTTATTCACAGCCAGCAGGAGGCTCTATGATCCCATGAATACACAAGGCGTCACCACGTCCAGTGCGGAGGGAACGGCAAGGGGTGGGTTGAGGGAGGATGACACGTCTTGCCACACGTGTGCACGATGGCTTCCTCCTCTGGTTAACTATACACGAATAGAGCCAGACCTTTGAACACGGGAGTCCTCCCCTTGGCAGCTGCCAGTCTGCAAGAATGAAAGTCGAAGGGTCGTAACGCACCGAGACACATTATTACACTTCGCTGCCTTTGCACCGCGTATGCGAACAGAGAATCGCTCTGCATTCGCCCCAAAACCCGCCGCCGCCCCCAACCCAGGTTTACAATATCAAAACATCGTCTTTTAAACGCGGCTGAGTCCCATGCGGCCCGGCCGTGGGTCTCGACTCGTCCCGCATGCCACGAGGCGTGTGACACGCCTTGCGTTTAAACTCCCGGTCCAGCTGATAAGCTCAGCAGTTCGGTTAATTTCAGTTCATTTATTAGCAGACGTCCGCACCCGAGTTGTCGGTTGACAACACCACCACCTCCAATGCCCCAGCAGCTGATCCGACTGCCAGGGCCCATAGGTAAACTCATCCCGTGAATGTGCGACTCTTCATCGGGCACTTTTGCGAGTCGTTTTGTGGTAACGAGTGATGTTGTTTCCTGCTGCAGGAGAGAATGTGCCCCGAGGCTTCATTCAGCACCGTGAACGTGACAAAAAGGGCGAGTGTCAATACTGAGTGAGAGGACACACATTATATGGCTACTCCGCAGGTGAAAGGGAAACGCATGAAAACAGGAGGGCAAGTTCCTCATTTAGCGTTAAAATATACAATAATGTTGTTACTTGCAATCACATCGCTGTATTTTGACAGGGAAACTACACCTTTAACTGGACAGCGTTGCTTGGCGCGACGGTGGCAAATGTTGACTACCTCGCCTGGTGTACAGGAGGTCGTGGGTTCGATCTCCACCCTGACGCCTGCTGCTGCTGTGTATTTTGGAGTTTGCGTGTCTCTCTCTCCCCGTGGTCCAGTGGATTTTTCTCCGGGTCCTCGGGTTTTCCCCTCCACATTTAGCAACATGCGTTTAGAGTATTTGGCTGCTATAAATTTTCACACGACAAGCCACTCAATAGAGCTATCATTTGTGGAAGAGCTATATCGCTCAGTGGCCCCTACCTGGTGAAATAAAAAAGTCTAGTTTTTAATAGTTGATGCTAAATGTATGCGAATGCGCAGCCTGTTAATTCCTCGCATTTATGCAAATACATTTGATGGAATCTTAGACGAGTTGCGTGCAGCTGTATTTATAAAAAATTACTTTATCAACAACTCTTAGAATTGTGTTTCTATTCCCTCGAACGAACACCAATTTCCCACAAATCACAAAAGCAACTTGTGGTGTCGTTTTAAAAGGAAAGTGAACCTTAAAAATCAAAGATAATTATTTGTGTGCTTCAAAACAAGTACAGAGCACGGAACAAAAGCAAGAATCCATGATAACTATCAGCAAACAGAAACACCACCCAGCTGCGACTGTAGCCTGTCTGAGTGAGCAGTTTTAGGAGTTAAATGGGATATATGTATAGCAGGTCACAGTCCAGCGTCAGGCCAATAAAAATGTCACTTCACCTTTCAGGTGTTGCCGAATGTATTGTGAGAACGTTTCGGTCATGTGATTTCCTCCCCCCCCCACACCCCCCATGCAACAAAGCGGCTATCTGGTGCCGCTTATCTAGAGCGGCAATGGGAAAATAACTCTCACGTCCCCCCCTTCTTTACAGACCCTGTTGACAATTACACGTTGTACTATTTGACTGCTGCAGCCAAGTGTGAAAAACCGAAGGCAGTAAAGGCAACTAAAGTGAAAAAGGTTTCATAATAAGCAGGGTAGGCCATGTAAGTGAAGTAGCTACTTTATACACCATTTACTTCACGAGCTTAGTAAGCTACATAGTAAAAAAATATATACCGCTCTCAAAAAAAAATGCATTGCCCCCAATTATGAATACCAACTTCAGTCTATCAATTCGTTATAGAGGGATTGTGCTTTGTGGTGAGCTTATGTAACTTATAAATACATCGATAAAGCCCGTGTTTACAGCGCCTTGTCAATCCATAACAGAGCGAGGGCCACCCTATGCTGTGCCAGTCATTGGCCTTCCACGAACATATTTACGTGGTCAGTTCAGATATCACTTAGACAATTAATGTTAGCCACGACCAGAAATCACTCGGGTTGCGAGGTTGACACACTGTGGTGCGCCAACCACTACCATTATTGCTCAAAGATACGTGATTTAATGTGAATAGTGTCTGTTAAATATTGCCGTCTGCCTGTCAGCAACATTATTGAAAGGTGGACCCCACGGCACAAAATCACATTGTTGGACAAATCATCGAAACGGACTCTTTTTGTCGTTTTGAAACTTTTATTGAACGTAAAAATACAATGATAATTCTCATTTTTAAAAATCACAGTTTACAAACAATTGGAAGGAAAGCTTCCATTACAGTAGAAAAAAAATGTAGAAAAGCATAAACCCTTGCAACCTGAAGGCAGTTATTGCACAGTTCAATGAGTTGTCACATTCAGCCAACTAAATCAGTCTTCACAGTCTTCCCAGTGTTGTGCTTCATCTATACTGGTACTGGATTTATACACGCACACACACACATACTATTAAAGGCCACAATGGTTATTAAGTATGGGGACAAGGTGACTTGTTAAACAACATTAAAATGTCCAAACCATATGCACAGAATTAGGATGTAACATGTAATTAAGTACACCCAGCACACAAGCTTTCGGATGGCAATCATGTGCACACAGTACTGAACGAATTTAACATTTAAGGCTACATTGGGGGGCATATCATCTTTCACAAACCGACACCACAAACACTACTAACAAACTGAATTTTATCAATTGGTAGTGTTTAGGCTAAACACACATTCACATTGTTGTAGATTGGCAAATTCTTTTATGTTTGCATAAAAGTAAGGCACTCTGCTCCATTTAGTCTTATTACATTACTCACATTTCTATCATGATATCCCGAAAAAAATGGTCAAACACCTGAATGTCTATCACTGATGAAAATTAAACAGGCGTTCACCATTTATAACCACATAATGAAAATCAAGGAATTGTTTAACCTCATTTCCACCGATTACAGCATAAGCAAGCTTGTTTCTGTTTACCGTCAATTTAACAACGGAGACAATGACAATTGCATAATGCAGTGAAACTTCGACAACAAGAAATAATAAATTCAAGTTCTGAATTAAAAGGAAAACACAGCAATTTCCATAATTTCCAGCAGGTTTGCTTTTAAGTCTACTTTTTAAACGTTAAACTATTTGAGTGCATTTCCATGAGACCCATACATTTTAATGTTTGCACACACGTGCTCGCCATTCTTCATCATTTACCCATGGAAACATTCAACGCCCATTAAACGGAAAAAAAATAAACCACGACAGCGAGGTAGTTTATTTTAAAAAAACCCATCAACTTAAACAGCTACCTCTGGAAAAAACTCCCATTTTAACTTAAACTCAGTAACTAACCTAAATAACTAACATAAACTAACCTAAAAACAAGCAACCGTCAAGTATAGTCAACCGCTGTATCAGATTGAAAAAGCTACACATTAACAGGATCACTTCGGGAGGTGTCACTGCATACATAACAAGTATATAATGATGCATATGTATTTGCTACCCAAGACTCAAATTATGTAATGCAGTGTATTATATGAACATGCTGGCCAGACAACATCTACTTAAAATGTGCACATTCAAAGTCCGCTATAAAAAAAGTAATGTCAAAAAAATAAGTTAAATGTTTACGGCTTAGCAGAAAATGTAGCTTGGCCCAAATGTGCACATTAAAAAGATAACCTCAATACACTTTAAAAAAAAAGGTTAATATGACACTCGGAGGATGGGTTATATTTAATAAATGGCCAAAACGATATGCAAAAAAAAAAACAAATTAACTTTTAAATAAATACAGTACAACTGTTAAGCAGTACTTATCAAATGACAGAGAGAAAAACTGCCAAAGTAAGCAACATTAACACAAAAAAAAACCCTCATCTATTTTTGGTTTCCACTGTGCAGTGCAATACAAGTACCGTTATGATTATTGTAAAGTACATCCAGAAAGTTTGCCAGTTTCACCGTGGAGCAGATTAAAAGTTTAAGTTATTGCAACACGAATCTGATTTGCGCAACAAGGAGTCTTAAAAACAAGGTACGCGAGACACGTTTCCAAGTGGGCATGTCAATTTGACAACAATACAGTACTGAAATTACCCAAACGTTAAGATGGCCATTGTATTGGACCAAGCATAACCAAGTCAAGGTGCTTGAATGCCAAGATTTTAAAAAGGTGTCTGCCTACCCAAGAGTGACAGATTGTGTATGAACATTGAAATTAGACTTAAATGTTAAAATTATCCTCAAAGTATCATCCCAAGCATTTTAATTACTTAAATTTTAACGTTTTTGCTCGAAATCAAATGTTTTAAGCTCATGATCCATAATAGTCAGCATCAATGTGTAACGTCATCACCCCGATGAAAACAGAGCCACTGGAACGCAAAGTGGCTACAACGGTATATATAAAAAACGAAATATACAAAATACTTAACAATATGCAGCATCACAATTCAGTATAAAAAAGTTAAAGTTACATTGCAAAAAAATATTTTTTCATGCGAGGGAAATGACAGCATTTATACATTTTAAAAGAAAGAGGGGGTTACTTTTGGACCTATTTATTAAAACACCAAACCTTCGAACCGTGTTCAACCGTGCCACACGTGAGATTTGAGAAGCCCAATTTTCTTTTATAAATTGACTAAAGGCTGCCATGCTCAGTTTTTTGTTTTTGTTTTGCTCAACTACCTTAAAATTAAGAAAACTACGCAAAAAAACCTCAAGAAATGCACTTTAGGCCGACAACTTAAACTATGAAAAACATCTACGCCTAAAACTAACAAACTATGTATACATTAAAGTTAAAATGCACAGAGCGTCGCATACGATAACACTTCTATTCCGGTTGTAACTAACCAACCGACTTAGAGGCACACTTTGCACGTGAGCAAAAAAAAACTACACTTGAAACTAAATGAAACAAACATCTGACAAGCTTACATTTACCTGGACCATGTGCCTAAAAGAAAACACCAGTTTCAATGCAATGCATAGTCTGTATTGTAAGAATATTGTCTATATATGCTTGGTTTTGTCTAACTCCTTAGTAAAAAGAGGTGTAGTGGTATACACCTAATAGTGCACAGGAATGTCAAAAGCATTTTTGGGGGTTTTGTTGAACAGAAAGATGTTCAGAAGCTGGCTGTATCATTGTAAAATTTAGCACGAAGCTTTGCATTGTTTAAAACTTTGATTTGTTCAGTCGCTGTAAATGGACACAATTAAGAGTTTAAAAAACTTAAGATCGCACTTATTGGTGGTCATGTATTGTTGACGATCCATATTTTTTTTTAAAAATCCCCTTGCCATCACCCAATGGATGAAGTGTTGTTTGGTCTGATCCAAGATGAACAAATCCCAACCTGCATGAGACCAATGAAAAGCTTCAACACTTCACCAGTAGGTCGGCAATGTATGTGTCTAAAACTTGGAACACTTTCCAAGGTACATAGCCCGCTCCACAGCTACATCAGCAAGCATATAGAGGTTAGTAAAGTCCGGTGGACCTGCAGGCATATCCGCTGGACTTACAGGTGAAGCGCTGTTGGGGAAAATGTGTTTGTATACCTCTGTGTCATTAGGGTGAAACTCCTTCAATTTCGGAGAGCTGTAGTCTAACGGAAAGTCTTGGAAAGTATTTGGGGTGCTGCTTGTGCTGCTAATCCCGCTGCTGCTGTTGCTACCACTGCCGCAGAAGTTTGCAAAAGCGGTCGCATTGTTATAGTTTGGGCTGACAGAGCCGCCGTTATCCTTCAAGCACTGCCGCTCAGAGATGACGGCGTCAAAGAGATAGTTGGCAAGCCGGTTGTGGGGAAGGCTCGCCATAAAACTGGGTGGGGAAGGCACAGGCAGCGGTAAGGTGGTGTGCTGGATCACGGAGGGACGCACCACCCTGCTGTTGGACGGCCTGACGGCAGCCACCGTCACTTCACGCTTGATCAGTGGCAGTGCAACTGTGGGGTGCTCCATAGGGTAGAGCAACCCGTTGGACATACCTGCAGCAGGGCTGTTCCAGCGAACTGCCAATTGCCGCGCCGCATTCAACTGCCGTGCAGTGGTCCTAGCTGACGATTTTCGGGACACCACGTAATCTGCCGGGTCTTCACCTTCCATGCGCAAAACATCGGGCAGCACCCTACGACGAGCATTGATGAACCAGTTGCACACCTGTAAAGAGATTGAAGGAAAATTTTGTTAATTGCATACAATTAATATTAATTTAGCTTTTTTTGGGGGGGAATTGCGTAATTGTTTTTTACAAGTCTTTACATTTGTATTTGGAATATGAAAATTTAGTTTATGAATTGCAAAACTTTTCCCCAATGGGTGGTTAAAAATAATTAACCAACATCGGTTTATGTACGACTTTCTCAAACAATGCCAGATTCGCGCTTCCTGTTTCCGAGTTGCAGGGGCAGAGGTTTTGTTACTAAGCAAAGACACGTGGGAGTTGACTCCTATGTAGTCATGCGGAAACAGAATGAACACTCTGCCATTTCAGGAGAAAAAAAAGGATGATGTGATTTCAAAATAAACTATTAATCTAAAGTGTCCCACCCATTACCGTTTATCGAACTAACTACTGTAATAGTACATTTGGTCACTCAAAAAAAATACCGCTGTGATGTGACCTGTCACAATTACCACCACACACTGCCTAACACGTGTAAGGGAAGATAATGCTCAATGGTTGTGAATGAACATGTTTTTACTTGAGAACGTTTGACCCCGATGCACCAACAAAGTGTGCTTTATTTGAACATTGAATTGCACGTTAATCATTAATCGAGAATGGGCATGTCTGATTGGTAAAGCTGAGAGGAAAGAGACGAAACACTCCTGGCCATAACCAGATGCTACTGCAATGGTATTTGCACAAGTCGAATTTCCTTGCAGACTGGCACACTCCTCATAAGTAGCATTAATTTAATAGTATTTTCTGCAATAATGACGGATACATTTTTCACCGAGATCTTGTGCTGGCCAACATCTTAAACGACCTACATCTATCTCTGGTGAACATCAGGTCGGTATGTGCAACAGAAAAAAAACGAATGCTGTTTATGGAAGTGAATGCGTTTCACATGTGACAGTGTGGTTAAGTTGCAGGTCATAGAAATTATGAAAAAATGTACATTTTTTTCCCCCCTTATAACTACTGTACTGCATTTAAAGTATTTATGGATGTTGAACTTATTTCGTATTGTACGTGGACAACCGTGCTAATCGGAGGTGCGGCAGTTTCGTTAAAGGTAATGAGCTCTGTTGAGGCAAATGCATGCTTTGCCATAAATGGTGACAAAAGCCTCATCTGTCCAGTAGTGTCCTAGAATCTCCAAAGCTTACAGCCAATATACCCACAAGCAAAGCAGCACTGCTTGGCAGAGTTTTTTTGTGCAAGCCAGTGTTCACGGCACCAAACAGTGTGGTCCCCTCCTGCCTGTACAATCTCCTCTGCCCCTTAACTGTCACCAGAACCACCCACGGTGCCATGCTTACGTGTGCACAGGAATCACTATAATCAAACAAGGCCGTGTGGCTGATGAGATTACGTGGAGGGATATATTAATTTCACGAGTAGGTTTTCATGACCAATGATTCATAATTAGTTACTATTTGATTGGATTGTGCAGGAACAATGTATTGTTTTACTAAAACCCTCCACACTTAAGTTGTGACATGAGAAAATATGTTGAAAAATAAGACAATTTTTGCTTGCATTGGTTATTTGTATCTGAAAAATTACGAAGGATTGCTATGTCCTTTAATATAAAACAGGTAAAAAAAAACTACCCTCTCTATTCACCAACTTGGCACTTGTTTTCACTGTAAACTTTTAATACAAAGTCGTCTTACCACTACCACTGCCTGTCTGTAACAATTTTTATAGAACGGCACATCCCCTGAAACCAATCCATTTACTATAAAGACAAGTGCCCCTCCCACAGACACGACGTCTAGACATATGCTGGACTAGAATGTGTTGGTCGACATTCTAGGAACTGCTGGCCGCTGGCCAGAGCAGGGCTCCCATCAAAGCTGTCACCGCCGTCTTGTGTAACGCATGGCAATTCTATCTCTTGCCACATTGAGGGCCGAGAGATTTTCCAGATGTTGTCAAGTACTGCTGGGCATACACCGCGATGCAATATTGCCGTCGCCATGGACTTGTGGACTGGTAAGCGAGCACCAGCGCTGTCCAGATAACGTTACGGCATGTTTATTTAACCTTCTAACTGCAGCCACCACGTTACGCATGTAAAAACAGACGTTCTAAAAATGTGCCTGCTCCTTTTGTAAATGCAACTAATATATATAAACAATCATGCCAAAACATAAGCACTATATCTAGGGATTTCAGTGATTGGTCTCTTGCTACTTAACAAAATCCCTAAATTCTAAAACACATAATAAAGTGATTGTTTAGTATTCGGTTACACTTGAAGACACCGCATTTCTCCTTGCACTCAACCCATGCACTCTTACATGTCAACCTGGCTTAATGCATTGTGATCGTTTGTGTTCAGGTCACGGGGGTTTTTCCACCTGCTATGCCTGAAGTCAAAATATACAACATCCTTTGGTCCCTTTACAACATTCTCTGTCCGTCCCTTCCTGCACTTAATTCAAACCAATCTCCATACCGCAATTGCTGGGTTTTACCTAATTAAAGTACGTTAACTATTAAGTAGTTTTTTGAACACCACTGAGAATCGATCACCAGATGAATGCTAGCGCTTGATTCAACAGTTATAATTTTTAACTTTACACTCACCTCTCTTCAAGCTAAGCACGTCTCAATGGTGATGCAGCTTTCAAAAATTACAAGTACCGTGCTGTAGTCACACGGAAAGTGTTTGGTCAGTATTTGTGGTTTTAATTGTTTAACTTTAAAGCAATCCCCCCCCCCCATGTCGTGATTTAAGGCGATTCCTGTTTTGTAGCACTTAAAACATATACCCAAACTTAGACACCGAATTTCTCAAACACTCGCTTGAGAATGCCCAAAGTTAAAATCGTGTTTATCCTCCCCTTGCCGCCCTACCCAGCTTCTGCCTACCTCAAATCCCATTACACTAAGAATAACAATAGAACAGCTGCTTGATAAAAAAAAAGTAGTTTAAACCTGTTTTAAAGAATTCAGGGATTCTGTCAGCTGTGACTTGCTTGCAAGCTAACTGTAAGAACTCAAAGCTATGATCAACTACAAATAGATACAATTACAGACATTTTCTATGCTTGTAAGTTGAACTTATTTTGTACCATACGTAACCAACCGTGCTAAATGGGGGGGGGGGGGGGTGTGGGGGAAGGACAAACTAAAACACAAAAAGCAGTTCTTAAGAAATTAGTTTTCAATATAGATGTGGAATGGATAGCCAAAAGTCGTTGCGAGGATGACCAGAGTTTGCGTGATGGTTTATACTCATTGACGAGACGAGCAAGGTAGTGTTTAATTTGTGTGAAATTATTTACACATTTATTTTAAGTGGTTCTCAAAAGAGCACAGACAAATGTCTTATAGTTTTTGGAGTGTACCGCTTGCAATGTCCACGACATGCAAGTGCTTGGAAATCATGCATCTGTCAGTCAGTTCAGTCAACAATCATGTCAAATCCATCAGAATTAGCCAGATGGACAAAAAAGATCACAAGTACCATGACTTGTTAATGAGTTACAACACGCTTTTGTAACCTTTTCACTCTGTACAAATACATTTGCATATATTCCACCAAATCTTAGGCACTACCTTATTTATATGTTTGGCAGTTAAGAAAGTCACAACGTATCTATTAGCAATTTACATTGGTATGCAGGCAGCATTCATCATTTTTTGTTCTAAATAAACGCCGCTTAAATTTGTTGACTTGACCAACATAATGAATTGCATTTCTGTATACTCTTTATTTATTCAGGATGCACATTATTTATCCAGGAAACTCTGATCCAGTTAATACCCTGCTTCAGGAGTGTCCTGCATGAGGAAGTTTTGGTAAATTCCATGTATACGAGCGTTTGGCATGTGGGAAGAGAATACTCTTCCATCAGCACTGACATTCTAAAATAAAAAAAAAATAATTTGACCAGGCAAGGCCCACTAAGCTATAGCTATTTTTTCAGAAAGAATAGCAGCCAAATACGCACGTTGATTCTAAATGTGGAGGGAAAAACCGGAGGACCCGGAGAAAAATCCACGCGACCACGGGGAGAACATGCAAACACCAAATATATAGGCGTCAGGGTCGAAGCCACGGCATCATGTGCACCAGGCGAGGTAGTGAACATCTCGTCACTGTGCCCCACAGTGGCAACATATTCCATTCCTGGCCACCTGGCAGCCCAGCGTGTGTGGGTGTGTCACAATTTCTCTACGATCCGTTAATCAACCCCCACATCCCTGCCACCGTTTGAAATGACTGGACTGCAGGCGTACACCACCACCACACCATCTGAACGACATCGACCACTTCCACCGAACACACAGCTCGGGATGCATGGGTGTTGGCAGCATGTTTACCTGCAGCGAAGTGAGCTGCGTGCGCTTGGTCATCATGACCTTCTCCACATCCGACGGGTAGGCGTTGAAGCGGTGCGCTAAGAGCCACTCGCGCATCAGGTTCACGGCCTCCTTGGGCAGATTTCCACGCTTGCGCTTGATAGTGCCCGACTCGTCACTGACCCCCAGATTGTCCTCGACCTTGACCTCATCCATTGGGCATGCCGCCTCTGCAATAAAAAAAAATCGAAATATAAAAAAACTGCAATCTTTACGTCAACATCCGAAACACAGCGCACGTGCTATGCCCCAAGTGGAAAACCAGTTTGGGTCAGATTATACTCGTAACTGTCAAAACAGCAAGCGATGCCAAACATGCAAAAGCACACGTGCGATTCTGTGATGAGCATTTACTCAAGTGGAGATATGCAAAATGGCGAGTTCATGGTTAATCTGTAAAAGAAGTCAAGGCAAGTATACCAACACACCCACACAAGACTACTTGAATGCACACCTACTCCTGAAAATCTGTCAAAAGGTTTTTTGTTTTGGTCAGATGAAATACCCAATAATAAATGTCAAGATTTTTGCTTCGAAGACATGTTTTAAATCACAAAAAGGTTTTTGAAAGGCAAGCAATGATCAAGCTGGTAGTGCCGCGTATTATTCAAGATTGTGAAGCTTTCATTAAACAATGTCAATATTTAGCTTAAATACCTTAACAGGATGACCAAAAGCAAAACGGTTGATTAAAAAAGAATTTCGAATTTTAATACTTTAACAGTTCATACATTTGGTTAATGATGGGGATGCATAAGCTTACACATTACAAGACAGCGTGCACATTTTAAGCGATTCAAAAGACATTATAATAACAATGTGTTAAGAAGCGGGACGAGCAAATGACGGAAAATGAACGCAACTAACATTTGACCTTGCGATGGCACCTGTCCTTTTCAGTGCACTGCAAGTGTTCCAAACAGAGACAGGAGAAAAACTGAATGACTTTTATAAAGGTGCGCCACATATTACCGGACTGAAAAGCAGAACAAAATTAAGTTTGCTGGCACTAGAGAGAAACCAAAATTGAACGTACAATTCATGGACACAAGGCACAGCAGTACATCGGGTGGCTCTGTCACAAGACTTCACATGCAGTTGACAGGCCAGATTATGAATTAGCTCTTTAAATAATGGATATTAATGTAATTTGGCAATATTGCATGATAAAAAAAAAATTACATTCACTTTGCAGTTTTTACATTTCAAGACTCCGCTTAACTATTGAATGCATGTAGGGACACATGCAGGGTGGCATTAATTCCAGGGATATACCCAGGAAAGCCTCATTGCATCGGGATGTTTGGCCCACTTGAAGAAAAATGTCACCCACACACATAAAATAACTACCATCTACTCCTGTCACCTCGCAGCCCCCATACGACTCCCAGGCTGAAGTCTGCAAAGCCGAGATGCCATGACAATGGGACAACCACACTCAGTAACAAGGAATATACAAGAGTATGCTAAACAAGTTCGTACGTACAAAACGGCTCGCATTCATATCAATATGCACCTCAAACCGGTGCAGACACAAAATACAAATCCACCAACAGCAGCAGCAGCTCACGCCTTCAACAAAAGCATCACACCCTCACGCGCATCAGCGTAAGTCGCCGGGGAGGTGATTCGACTGTCTTTGGGGGAGGAAAAAAAGTGACAAGAAGAGACATAATGGGTGGGCGATTGACGAGCAAGGAAGCACAAACGGAAAAAAAACACCGTAACACCCGACACAACATACACCAGAGGACCAATGAGAGTTTCGCGAGCTAGAGATAATGTATTGAATAAGCACATTACCATCAGCAAATGTTTCTACGAGTTGCAGAACATTCAATGCATTATCCCACACAATCATTATGGGGGCAAGACAGTGCTCAGAGTCTTGATGAATGAGACTTATCACAGACCATTTTACACTTTCTCGGAGGGGACATTGCTAAATTACCCACGCCGAACCATTTAGAGTAAATAAGAGTTTTCCCACACTTGGATTAGACATTAAAGAGCCAATGCCAGTAACATGTAAATACTACAGATGTACCCGCGTTCATTTCTTGCAGCCGTTTTTTTTTGTTTAGTGACAAAGCAAATTGTAAAATAAAAAACAGTGACAAATTTCCCAGCAAGCGTGATGCATGCTGTGAATTGCACCGGGAGAGAACGACACGCGTGTTACTAAAGGGCAATCACATTGACTGTTAAAGGGAAGGAATAATAGTTAGTTTCCTAGGCAGTCACCAATCTTAGGGGCAGGGTAAAACATCGCCCTGCCCCGTACGATGGTGACTGTCACCCGATACTTAAAACGACGGGAGTGGAGTGACAGTAAACACGCCCTGAGAGGAGGAGGAGGACGCACGGTCGAAGATATTCTTTTTGAGCGATTCTATATCGGGGTTCGTGTACAAAGGAGCTGGTGGTGGGTTTACATCGCTTCCGATTAAATCACGGAAAACCGCATCTCCCGATTAGCGCTGGTTGGCTACGTACGGTGCGAAAGAAGTTACACGTGCAGTAACACGCCCGTTCCATATGGTTTAGCCGTATTCTTGCAACAGGAAAATTTAGTTTTTAGGTCCCTTACGGCGTACAGACGTTTCAATAAGAGCAAGAACGGAATTTGTCAATTTGTTTAGCGTTTTTTCCCTTGTGACGGAACTTTGTAAGATGAACGTTGAGATTTAAAGGGCACGGTGGGGGGCAGGTGAGCAATAAGGTGTGAATTGGTCTGTAATAAGGCAGGCGCTGACAATGTGTTAACAGTTTTGTCATTCCTTAGCACCAACCCGCACCGACCAGCGTGGTGAAGTATGGGTCAAACAACAGCCGTGAAAACACGTGTCTTCGTCCAGCGGTGAATCGACGCAGATTTTTTTTTTAAAGAGCGCGATATCAGTGTTGCTCGCACTTACACACAGTCTCGTTTCACTCTCCACGAATCAACGGGTCTTAGGACGCAGGCGACGCAACATCACATCAGCCGCCAGCTTGGCACACGACGACAAGCGGCACAACCTCGGAGCTTCCCACGACAAACTATTCATATTACTCCACCCCTTGTTCCGTCGGCTGCGAAGAAAACCAACACCAACACACCAACACCACCACCAACACCACCACTGCCTCCGCTCGTCTCGCCACCATCGTCCGTCAAAAGCGGAGCAGCAACCGGAGGGAAGGTTGAAAGGAGGGGAACAGAGAGACAGAGAGAGAGACAGAGAGAGAGAGACAGAGAGACAGAGACAATCGACGCCACATTCCCGCCACGGGCCGATGCAAGAAGCTCGCGGTTCGGCGTGGCCGACGCAAAGCGATCGCGAGGAAGCGAGCGAGCAAGACAAGCCGCGAGAGACGGCACGGACACAACACCATGAGGGAAGGAGGGAACAGACGACGAGAGACGACACCGACACAACACCACGAGGGAAGGAGGGGACAGACGAGGATAGACGACACCGACACAACACCACGAGGGAAGGAGGGGGACAGACGACGAGAGCCTTGACGCCACTCGTCGTCTTGGGACGCTGCCCTCTTCATGTTAACCCAACTTCAGCAAACAATACAAAGCGCGCGCGCGGGTGGGTGGGGAGCAACGTTACGGTCATCATCATCATCACAATGATTATTATCGTCATCATCATCATCACAATGATTATTATCGTCATCATCATCACGAACGAGCTTAACTTACCGTTGGTCTGCTGCTTGTTCTTCATTTTGTCTCCGTGCAGGGCAGCAGCAGCGGCAACAAAAATAATAAAATAAAACTAAAGTTTCCCCACGCTGTCGGAAGCGCCCTCGCCCTCCTCCGCCCACGTTAAACTTTGCCTTTCTCCGCGACAGCAGCAGCAACAAAAACAACAACAACCCCGGCCGCTACCTCACCACGTCTAATAGCACCCTCCTTCTCTATCGCAGCCTCGCAAAACCTGCAACGAATCTACGCGGGGCAACCCGCACGCAACTCGGTCGAGAGAAGAAGAGGTTCGGGAAGAAGGAGCGGAGAGCGAAGAGAGCACGCGGCGGTGACAGGCGAGGCGGCGGGGGAGGAGGAGGAGGAGGCGGCGGGGGAGGAGGAGGAGGAGGCGGCGGCGGAGTCGGCGGCGGTGGCGGCCGTCGTGTGAGGAGGGGAGGCGAGGACGCCTCCTTTTAAACTCCTCCCTCGGACACGCAGCGACCAATCGGGCGGGTCGGATTCCTCGGACCCGGGTGGGGGGGGGGAGTCGACCAATCGGAGAGGCGTCCTCGGAGTCTCCTCCCCCTCGCCCGCCTTTTGAAATGCAGCGGAATGCGCGAGCGCAAGAAGGAATGGGCGGGGGGGGGTGACGTGGGGGGGGGGTGACGTGGGGGAGGGGTGACGTGGGGGGGGGTGACGTGGGGGGGGGGTGACGTCTGCGCTGGCACGGTGCCGCGTAGGAGCTTGGCAGCATGGCCCAAGTCGTGCCAAATGCGCATATTCATGTGCATCACGCCGTTGTTCTGCATCTGCATGCGCACACGCGCGCATGCATTGCAGCGCCACGTGGTGCTGCTGCTGCTGCTACACGTGGAACTCCTTCCCTGTGTTAGATGCATTGGGGTTTTTTTGTTGCGTCTCTCTTCTTTTTTTTTAAATGCACAGTTTATGGGACGGAAGTGTTCATTTCTGATTTTGTTGCGCTCGTTCGTCGTGGCTTGTGCGAGTGGCACTTCGCAAAAGCAGCGGCTGCGTCGCCAAATAACGATTTGCTTTATGCAGGGACGACAGGGTTCAGCGCACACGTACACGCGCGACAAACAGTTTATGGACCTTACATCACTGCATAGTTTCTCTTAACAAGGGCGAGAAATAATGAACTCAAAGCACGATGGTTAAATGATCAATGATCAGTAAAGGCGACACAAAACATGCATTTACAGGTGAGATTACATGAATGTCTAAGTTATAATGCGAGTGGGGATGCAGAGGTCGTCATGGTGAGCGAACGCTACACGATGTGCAGTGACATCGCGCTGTGAAATCAGCCCGAAATCCCTCCTGTAGCCTGAACACCTATGAAGGCCGGCACGGCCGTCCTTTGTCTCCCCAGTGGCGATGTTTCAACACGGCACCACGTGCTCATTTGAGGCTGAGTCGACTTAGGGGAGACCCAGGACCGCCACTGGGTGTTGGCCGTGATCGGGAATCGAACTCGGGTGGCCAGGTTCGTAGCGCAGCGTAGCGCTAACCGCTGCACCACCGCTCCCCATATGTATCACTCGCACGCACACGCATTGCACGCAATGCCACACGCTACACGTGATATGAACCAAACTCTTACCTATGGTGTGCATGTTTTTTTTTAATATCTCTTTTGTAATGCATTTTTACGGGACGAATGTAGTTAATTTTGATTTAAAGCTTTCGTGACTGCAGTGATTAATATTCTTCGTTCTTTCGGTAAAGTCGCGTTGAAGGGAAACAATAAAATAATGAACTCCACGTCAGTGGAGTTAATCGGCGGCAGTCGCACAAGCACGACTAACTAACAAACGGAGCATTAACTACAGTCATATTCTTGGTTCTTTCGGTAAAGTCACGTTGAAGGGAAACAATAAAACAATAGTTAATGTTCCGTTTGTTAGTTAGTCGTGCTTGTGCGACTACCAAAGCAGCAGCTGAATCACCAAATAACGACGTCCTCTACCCAAGGATGATATAGTTCAGCGCACACACGTGCGCGCGAAAAACACAACCTCATTCCTTTGTATGTACAGCACTGTATGTATGGTTAATTGAACAAGGGCCTGACATAAGGAATAAGGTCGAGCTGGTCCTTATTTCTCATGTCAATTTGGCAATACATGAATATAGTACAATTCAGATAAGGCTAAGTAAAACAAAATAATTACACGCCAAGTGATAAACGCATACAAACCCACGTTGTCACATTACGGAGAGATGCATGCTCGGAATGTAGAGAACAAAGGGGCAGGGAACGCGTGGGTACGAGATCACTCGCAGGTTAATGACAAGTGGGTTTGGGCAGGGCACGTCGCTGGAAGAGGATTTTAGCCGCTGGAGAAGGACGCTTGGCAGCCGAGGAATAAACAACTCCGTCGGCAAGATGGAGAGGCCGTCTCTCTCTGCACGCTCGCGTACAGAGAGAGAGAGAGAGAGGATGGCTGCTGATGATGATGTTCTATCCACTGATGGATGAAGGCCTCCCCCAAAGCTGTCACTATCTCTCGCAGTCTTGCGATGCAAAACGTCAGTGGAGCTAATGCGCGATGCACGCGCTACCACCGACGTGTTCACTCCTCTTGGCTGCCACTCCTTCGTGATGCTCGACCAGCGGACATTATCATCATCCTCCCTGCCAGGGTTGTGAGTTCCCTGCCCAAGCCCACTTACTTTATTGACACTCCAGTGTCGTGGGTTCAGTGTTCTTTTTTTAAAAATAAATTAGTTATTATTCTTTCTGTCGCCCTGCTTAATTTGAAGCATGCGACTTGTCTCCATGCTTCTTTGCGCAAGTAACTAAATTAACAAAGTCAAACATCTCTACATGTATAATTAAAGGATAGAACAGTGCTCTGAGACGTCTTGTTACGTTACGGGCTAAATAACAATAGCAGGTAGCAAATTCGTGCAGTGTGATAATGAGATCACAATCTTTATTTTTCGTGGAGAAATCGGATGCGCTATGAATCTCTTTTTCACAATGTCCAGTGGTACAAAAACACATTAATAGCAAAGAATATTATACATTTAAATCTTTGAAAGCTCAACACACTCTATTTTACAACATTGCTTTAAAAGAACAAATACAGAGGCGACGTTTCGATCAATGGCCCTTCTTCATATCACATACGTGGCAAGGCAGCGTTGTTAACGAATGTGCTGAGCTTTTCTTGTTATGGGTGCAGCAGCAGCTTCACGAAAACCATTTGCTTTGTAAGTCAAGGCGCCATCGCCACCGTGCGTGCGTCACGTGATGCTGCATAAGAAACATGCGCGCGGTAACTGAACTCAGTTGCATGACAAATCCCATACACAAAATCAAACCCTTTGTAAAGTCTGAAATTTAAATAGTTGATGGCGTACGCTTGCGTGCAGATGCTCGGCGAATCGCTACATCGCAGCAGGATCGTTAGAGGTGGTGGCGGCGGTAAATTGATACACGGATGATGATGATAATGATGACATTCAGAGGATGACTGCTGATGATGATGATGTTTTATCCACTGATGGATGAAGGCCTCCCCCAAAGCTGTCGCTATCTCTCGCAGTCTTGCGATGCAAAACGTCAGTGGAGCTAATCCGCGGTGCACACGCTCCCACCGACGTGTTCACTCCTCTTGGCTGCCACTCCTTCGTGATGCTCGACCAGTGGACATCATCATCCTCCCTACCAGGGTTGTGAGTTCCCTGCCCAAGCCCACTTACTTTATTGACACTCCAGTGCAGTGGGTTCAGTGTTCTTTTTAATATAAATTAGTTATTATTCTTTCTGTCGCCCTGCTTAATTTGAAGCATGCGACTTGTCTCCATGCTTCTTTGCGCAAGTAACTAAATTAACAAAGTCAAACATCTCTACATGTATAATTAAAGGATAGAACAGTGCACTGAGACGTCTTGTTACGTTACGGGCTAAATAACAATAGCAAGTAGCAAATTCGTGCAGTGTGATAATCAGATCAGAATCTTTATTTTTCTTGGAGAAATCGGATGAGCTATGAATCTCTTTTTCACAATGTCCAGTGGTACAAAAACACATTAATAGCAAAGAATATTATACATTTAAATGTTTGAAAGCTCAACACACTATAGTTTACAACATTGCTTTAAAAGAACAAATACAGAGGCGACGTTTCGATCAATGGCCCTTCTTCATATCACATACGTGGCAAGGCAGCGTTATTAACGAACGTGCTGAGCTTTTATTGTTATGGGTGCAGCAGTAGCTTCACGAAAACCATTTGCTTTGTAAGTCAAGGCGCCATCGCCGTCGTGCGTGCGTCACGTGATGCTGCATAACAAACATGCGCGCGGTAACTGAACTCAGTTGCATGACAAATCCCATACACAAAATCAAACCCTTTGTAAAGTCTGAAATTTAAATAGTTGATGGCGCACGCTTGCGCGCAGATGCTCGGCGAATCGCTACATCCCAGCAGGATCGTTAGAGGTAGTGGCGGCGGTAAATTGATACACGGATGATGATGATAATGATGACATTCAGAGGATGGCTGCTGATGATGATGATGTTTTATCCACTGATGGATGAAGGCCTCCCCCAAAGCTGTCGCTATCTCTCGCAGTCTTGCGATGCAAAACGTCAGTGGAGCTAATCCGCGGTGCACACGCTCCCACCGACGTGTTCACTCCTCTTGGCTGCCACTCCTTCGTGATGCTCGACCAGCGGACATCATCATCATCCTCCCTACCAGGGTTGTGAGTTCCCTGCCCAAGCCCACTTACTTTATTGACACTCCAGTGCAGTGGGTTCAGTGTTCTTTTTAATATAAATTAGTTATTATTCTTTCTGTCGCCCTGCTTAATTTGAAGCATGCGACTTGTCTCCATGCTTCTTTGCGCAAGTAACTAAATTAACAAAGTCAAACATCTCTACATGTATAATTAAAGGATAGAACAGTGCACTGAGACGTCTTGTTACGTTACGGGCTAAATAACAATAGCAAGTAGCAAATTCGTGCAGTGTGATAATGAGATCACAATCTTTATTTTTCGTGGAGAAATCGGATGAGCTATGAATCTCTTTTTCACAATGTCCAGTGGTACAAAAACACATTAATAGCAAAGAATATTATACATTTAAATGTTTGAAAGCTCAACACACTATAGTTTACAACATTGCTTTAAAAGAACAAATACAGAGACGACGTTTCGATCAATGGCCCTTCTTCATATCACATACGTGGCAAGGCAGCGTTGTTAACGAATGTGCTGAGCTTTTCTTGTTATGGGTGCAGCAGCAGCTTCACGAAAACCATTTGCTTTGTAAGTCAAGGCGCCATCGCCGTCGTGCGTGCGTCACGTGATGCTGCATAAGAAACATGCGCGCGGTAACTGAACTCAGTTGCATGACA